TCCCAACTGATACTTTTATTAGTTTTTCTTTTATAACCTCCCTGCAAACTATCACTTTAGCTAAAGGACGCATAAGACCAAATGTCAAAAATGATCAAAATCCAGCTTAACTTCATTTCATGTTAATCAGATTCACTGAACTAATGGTGTGTGTGTGTGAACTCAAGAGGAAAACTTAATCAAAAGCGTTCCAACAAATTTAAGGATATAAAAACTTGTTCAACCAACATATTCCAGGTTTTTAATTGTTAAGTTGCTTCCCTCTGACACAGTTTTCTTTCAGCTTATTGTAAGAGATACGTGCCACTTCAAAGTGGGGAAAATGTGGAAATGATTCGTTCGATCAGTTTTAAGTAACCTGAAATCTAAATGAGGTTTATGCACTTTTGTCGGACACTGTTTCACTTTCATTACTTTTATCAGCATTCGACTTCATCTTAGATTATTTCTGAGTTTTAAAACTGAAACAATGAAGGGATGTGATTAATAAATCCATGATTAATAAATGAATTTCAATACTTAGCAGCAACAGAAATGTAGTTTATCCTTTAGAGGACCATGTGAACACCCCAAACCGTTCTGCTGCTTGTTTCAGTCACTTAATATTTCTCTTTGTAATACTTCCTTCTTTCCCCCCCCAAATCCACTAGAGGATTAATCTTAACTACAGAGCGCCTTTATAACCGCGTGGACCTCGGTGGGAGCTTCAGAGAGCGCTCTCTGCCTTTATGAAAGGCACAGGGCCAGCCAGATTCAGCCTGGCCAGGCCTTCAGAGACGCCGGCTGTTTGACTTGGCTCTCTGTCCAGAGCCCGGCACAGGGCTACAGTTGTCTGTAGCCACAAACTGCAGAGCTGCAGGTATTTCCTGACTAAATTTCTCTGTCCTGCTGTTTGCAGTTGTATTCAGTGAAGGAAACTTTTGGAGACAGAGCACGGATGAATCCAACATAAAGAACAACCGCAGAAGCACCGTATTTTCCTCCTTCTTCTTCTGCTCATGCTTGACTAAAAAAGCCTAAAAGGAAATTAGAAAACCCAAAGCCATCCACCAGCTCAACCCATCTTGCATGTCTTATTTTTCGTCGTCGTATAAGCGCCGCAATTTTTCATGCAGGTCGGGACTTTATCTGGATGCTCCAAAGCCAAGAGTCTCATCTTTTTGCAATTTCCTCTGTTTTTTCCCCTCTGTGATGGCCCAGATGTTGTTCTACTCCGTGTTTAGTTTAGCATAAACATTAATCATAGACTTCTGCGCCATCATTCCTGGAACACCTCTCACCATTATGTTAATGAATACAGACACTTAGAAAGAGGCTTCGAGCACCTGCAAACACCTGGGCGCGCACACAGAAAAACAGCAAGAGAGGTGCCTTTCTGGGCTGTACTCTGTCTCGGCATCACTTTGGTCCCTTTCAAATTATCTGCTGGGATTAATGATTGTAATTTTCACACATTAACTGCCTCGCATTCATCCATAATTGGCCGACCCACAACTGTGTTTTCCCTTTGAATTTGTCCGCTGGGTTCCTTCCTTTAAGCTGCAGCAGCGTTTTGGGACTGACGATTGGTCCGGTTGCTTTCTGCTCTCTCTTGGCTGTCAGAGATGCAGGACTAGTCAGCAGAAACCTTCCAACTCTGCCAGTTCACATGATACAGGTCATGCAGCACTTCTTTTAAAATCTTTCTGAAAATGAGCGTTATCATCATCTTCTAGACTTTTGTCAGGATTGCTAATAAAAAATTATCTCAAACCTTACAAGTGAACTCTGCACTGCATTCTTGAAAGGTGCATGTCAGTTTAAGCATGTAAAGTGAGCTTTA